TGCGAGAAACTGGATGGAAAGAACAAAACACAAGCGACAGAAGAATCCAGAAATGGTAAGGACAAGTGCTTTTTCTTGTTGTTTTTAAAAGAAAGTCTGCATCAAGCAAAAAAATAAAACATTTTCTAGAAACATTTCTGCTACTTGTCCTCAACAAACACGTGGCATTTTGTGACCGTGTCCTTGTGGAGCTGTTCAGACTGAAACATTTCAACTATTTCGATGACATTTTCCCCTCAGCATGAATCAGAAACACGTTGGCAGCTTTTCATTTAGTCCCATCAACAGGTTGTATTTCAAAATAATACAAATTCCTGTCGGCCTCAGCTGTGATTTTGTTTTGTGCTAAGAACATCCTTTACTATCTCCTACTAAAGGAATCCTTTGTCTAAGAACGGCATTTTCTTGTGTTGATAAACTGAGTGTTGAGAGAATTTAAGACTGCTGGTCTTGGTTTTTGCGATGGATGGCTGTTGTTCAACACTCTGGTCAAAAGTGAAATATTGAGTATTACTTGTGGTGAACTTGAGTTTTGCACAGAAGATGGATCTTAGAATCTGGGTGGAGAAAGAGGCATAGATATGTATAATAAAGGCTAGATGTCTCGTCCGTGATGCCGGCCAATGGAATCGCGTGGCCACACCGGCGGCCATCTTGGCTTGGTGTGCTTGCCCACCCATAGCATTGTGTTGTAGTGGTGCATGTACTTTTTAAATAACCATAACTTGCTTAGTTTTCTAACGATTTTCAAACAGTTTGGTTTGTTATAAACATCAGAGGTGTTTAGAAAATAGGTAGGAGCCGCTGCAACTGGCCAGCAACAATTAGTATATTAATTATTTTGTATTTTTGCAGCCACGTTAACAACGTTCGTAAGAAACCAAACCGTTTGTAAATCCGTCAAGATTTCAGCGAGATAAGGGTGTTTACGTTTGTGCAGATCACTCACCTTCCTTCACCTACCACAGGTTCCGCCAGAGAGCTGCCCCAAATCAAGATGGCCGCCGGTGATCCCGTTCGAGATTTAAGACATCTAGTCTTTCTTATACACATCTATGGAAAGAGGCTGCAGCTTCATGGATCTGTTCATTCTAGAAAAATGGTTGCATCTAAGCCATTTTAAGGATTACAACTTTAATGGAAAATAAAAAATCTTCTAAATGGGTAATCTTGATAAAAGGAGAAGAGTTTGCGGGGGTTTAACTGCTGGATATTAAGACTTCCTGGATTTTGATTGAACACAAATAGAATCTTTACAATACTTAAGTGTCTGCAAAACTAATCACATTCCTGTGACTCGACTTTATAATTTGTGCTGAATATCAACAAGCTATCGTGGGAGGTTGGGGATAAAACATTCCTTTGCCAGTTTAACCCATTGTTCCAGATGGGATAATAAACGCTGTGAAATTACATGATTGCACTCTGCAATATTTTGTTAACGCTGCACAGGCATCGGATTGAGCTCACCCTGGTGACAAAATCAGTTGGAGCAGTTGGCAAAATGGCCAAAAGAGGGTGGCGGGGGTGATCCAGTAGCCAAGTTTTTAGGGTGTGTGCCATATGGCCACATACGCTCTGAGCAGCAGCTCCCTGGTTTGACTGCTAGTCAGCCAAAACCATTTGCTGCATGTTGCTTCCTGCTCGTTGCCATATTTCCTTTTCTCTCCGCTGTCGTTTCAAATAAAAGCGAAAAGCTCAGATGCGTCTTTAAAACAAGTTGGCGTTACTTTGTTTAGCTTTACAGCAGACTAGATGGGGAGTAGCTCTCCTGATGGCTTCATTTTTTTTGTGGTTGGTTCCCACGTTAAGCCAAGAGTTGACATTTCTGTCGCATTGGCAAAAACATTTTTCTGGAAATGTGGACATAAACTCTTGATGGGAACTGTGTGGATCGTACAGGGTGTAACGGAGTGAGGACGTCTAATCTGGAGGCAAATGAAACTGCTCAGGACGAACAGTCTCGCTGTTAAGTTAGCATTCATATCAATGTCCATCCATGAAAACGATAAATAAAATGCTACACAAAGCGCCATTCAGTGAGTGTAATTGCTTTTCTAAAAAAGTGCAACACATTAGGGCGAACACACAACCTCAAAAGCACACATAGTGCAAAGTCTTAATGTAAAAGCTCAGAGGAACGGAGGCTTCTGAAATTCACTGGAGAGTTTTGTCTCCTCAGTCAGAGCAGCCTGCACTTAATTCCAAGCTTTTTAAGTGACTACAGAGCTGCTTGTTTTCTCCTCAGGATAAATTTCTGCTCCCCAGGAGACGAGGACTGAGACTGAAACACATCATGCTGCAGCAGTATTACGAGGTGCACACAAGAAGCACAATTAAACCGGTTGTTCTACACGTCAACACGACTGTACAGATAAGTCCTTAGTTTCATATAATATATATGAATCACTGCTCAAATCCATGTGTGCAAAGTCAAGTTCTCTTCAATATTTGACTGTCAACCTGTTTTCTGTCTGATAAATTTCATGACTGCGGGAGCCCGAAGCCAAACTGAATTCTTGAAAACACGCTTGGCTTCCAAACAGAGAAAAATCGCACAACAAGAAGAAGAAGATGCGGTCTCAGAAAGGAGAGCACTCCAGCGAGTTCTTGACATTGTGATTGCAAAAGGGAAACGGGTAGGTTTTAACGGGAGAAAGCGGTGGCGATAAGGTAGGATGCGGTGGAGGGCGAGGTGCAGTCGGAGCAGCCTGGAGGACGAGATAATGGAAATAGTGCAGACTTGGTTGTATCAGGGGTTGTGGAGGCAAGACGGTCTAATGCGTGAGGCCCGGCTGAGGAGTGAAGGCTGGATTATTGAAGACCGGGGTGGAGCTGTGGCCGCTGCAGGGTGGCGCACTCCTCAATTTATGCTCAGACACGGCTGCAGGAAATAACAGCAGGCTGGAACGAAGCAGAGATTGCAGGAGATTCATAATAAAGATGCACGTTCGAGTAAAGAGACGAATCAACACAGCTGCTGCGACTGCATCTAGACGGCGATTTGCTTCAGCTCGTGCTGTTTTTGATATAAATGACGATTATTTTTGCACCAGCCTGGCAGCGTAGACGCCACGTTAGCAGGAATACACACGAAGAATGAAAAGGGAGCCGTTCTGAAAAGTAAATATTCTGGAAAATGACTAAAGACGGTAAAACAAGTTACTAATCGCTTTGGTTTTTACTCAGAAAAATAGTGAGAAATACAGTTACCCACAGCACGAAATGACCTTCATGGAACTGGTTTTTGTTCAACCAGTAGTCCAGGCCTTTGAACTGTAAACAAACTATGAGACTAATCCAGATAAAAGGCAGCAACTATTCACATTAAACAAACTGGAGATCATGACATTTGAGGCATTTCTTTATGAAAAACAACTTGGATGATTTTCAAAATAAATGTTTCAGCTGTACTTGTGTGCTGCTCCCCAGCATTTCATGTTCTCTTTACAAAAACCTCAACGATGTAAAGTAACTAAAGCAGTTAAATCCGACAACTATCTCCTCCTTAGATGCAGTGGAGAATAAAATACTCCAAACTGTACTAATATGCAGTGTTACATGTACTCAAACGCCAGACGTCATACCACTGAAAGCTTGGTGGAGTTTCTCCTCCTCCGAGGAAAAGAACTCTACAAGACAAATTCAGTGTCTCAGTGAAACTCACCTTTACAGTGTGGTTTGATGGCAGCATCCACCAACTGAGTCCAGAAGATCTGAGATAGACAGGAACGGTTAAGCTGGTGAGTTGGGTGGCTTTAAGCTCTGAAGACACATGCATGGACATCACATTGGGTTCTATTACCACAGTAGTTATTTTTAGTAGTAGTAGTAGTAGTTTTTTTTTCATTATGTTTAATTTATTCATTATTCTTATTATTATTTTATAATTTTTTAAAATATATATTTAAAAAATATTTGTTAACATATATTTTAAAATAGATTTTTAATTTATTATTATTATTATTATTATTATGTTGCTATTATTATATTATTATTTTATATATATTTGAATATTTTAAACATATTTTAAAATAGATTTTTGATTTTTATTATTATTATTATTATTATTGTTGTTGTTGTTTTTACATATGTTTTGATTTTGTTTTTACATATATTTTAAAATATATTTTTTATTTTCTTTATATTATTATTTTTTATTTTCTTTGCTATTTGATCAGCTCAGGTCATTAGAGGTTAAGGTGGTGTTTATCAGGACACTGTAACTTCTTTCACAGCAAGATTAAGTGCTGGTCTAAGATTTTGGTTTAAGATTTTAAAGTAAAGGGCAAAAGAAAAGAGCTCCATCACACTTCCATGTGATTTTATGTTTGAGATTTGATTGGCCCTTTTTAAAGACCTCTTCTGTTGAAAATAATAATAAATAAAAAAGAAAAATCAGTGTGTTTACTTGCTTATCAGGCATATCAGGAGTGAAATCAGCAGCCAGTGTCCTGGAAACACAAACAACCAAAGTTTATATGAAACAAACATCAGGGAACCTGTCAGGTCACCGGGTGGAATTTTCCATCTCCTTTATCATCTTCAGAGCTGGTTTCCGGGTCAGATGTGTGTGGTTGAATCACTCAGCAGTTGCAACATAGATGAGGTTTGTTGAGTTAAGCGATGATGCACTTGAGCTGGTGGAGAAAGAGGCGGGGGATTTCATATAAAAAAAAACAAAAGGCCAAAGTGTAGAGTTCAGTAAGAAATAATTTTCATACAATAAAACTTTTTAAACATGAACTTTTTACACAGATTCAGTTCCAGCGGTTTAATCAACAACCAGAAATGGACTTAAAGCAGCTTTAAACTTCAGTTCTATTAAGTAAACAGGTTGGGATCACTGGGGCTGCACTCCCTTAAATCCCCCCTTGCTTTTCAAATCTGGTTTGAATTTGACATCTGATACGTAGTAGAAAGCCAACACGTGGGAGAAATCAATAAGCCAGCATGCGTGGGCTGCATCTGATAAATTTGATTTCTGGTGAAACCTCTGTTCATGCAAGTGTAACTCCAGAGAAGCAGAACAACTTCCACAGCAGCTTTGAATCACCTGAGGCGTTTCTTGATTAACAAAGATTGTGTCCACACCCCAAGATGAAGACAGGAACGATAAGTTTCCTGGTTTCAGCGGCTTGGCTTCTCATTCAGGCAGGTCTGGCAGAAGATGTTGACAACATGCAGAGGAATGCAACTGAGGTGAGACACGCAGAGATTTAGATCTTAAACTTGTCGCACGGCTGTAGTAAAGATTCACATGTTGTGTTTGTTTTGAAGTTACTTTACTTTAAAACATGGTTTATAGGACTTCTTGCTTCATTTCATTGGACTTTGGACTCGACATTGATTAGACAGCTTTGGTTTTGTTGCAGATTCAGAAAACTGAATGAAAATGAAGTTGATAAACTTCCCAGCAGTGTAGTTCTCTTTTTTTAGAATATAATAGAAGGCTTTTTATTGTCATCAGAGCACTACGAAACAAAAACTGTAAAAGTGCAAAGAATCAAACATTCTTATTTAAATGTAACTTTGATTCGCTGCACGATTACAGTTACTTTTATTTTTTGTTACTCTATTTTACTCTATATTTATTGTTGCACCAATTCCTCGTATTGTGTGAACTACACCTGGCAATAAATCTGATTCTGATTCGGAAAAGACAACTCCAGTGGTGCAAAAATACAAGTATAAAAAAGACAAATAAGAATATATATGTACAAAAGGAGCCAGTAGGAAGCATATACAGTTTGTTGTATTGGACTGTTGAGGTAAGAACACTGTGGATATATGAGAAATAGAAATAATGTATAATAATTTTAAAACTAGTTCCACCTTTACCAGCTGCACCATTAACAGGATGCACACCGTGATGATATTCAAAACTTATCAAATAATGTCACACTTTATTTTGAAATGTTTCTTTCGATACCTTCATCTGCTTTTATTTTGACGCTCATGCTTTCCCTGTTTTACTTCAGTAAAATGTTGAAGGTGTGAATTTGATTTTAAAAAACCTACATTTTATTTGTGCTGTGGTTTCTCTAAAAGTACTGAACAAGTCAGAGACAGATTCTTCCTCTATTATACAGAAAGCAATGTCATTACCTTTATTTTGGTCTGTTCCACCGAAACAAATACGTTATTCAACCAGCATACGTATTCTGAGAAGAAATCTTCATAAATGAGGCTGAAATTGTGTATCAAAGTTTAATGTATCTGTCATTTTACATCTCGACCGTAAACAAAATGTGACGCCGTAGTTGTTCATTACATTACTCCTCAAACACTAAATTGTCAGCTGGCTGTGGCGTCGAGCTGCATGCCGACAGCAAGCAGGAAAAGTAAAGGTAATCATCCCTCCTATTGGGGAAAATATTGAAAAAGTGCACTGGTAAACAGAACATATATTATTTCGCAGGAATATCTGGGAGCATTCTTTCGAATAAACAATATGTATGTGAGTCAGATTCACCTCGGAGATGAAACGAATGTTCTTCCGTCCTTGATCCTTTGCAGAAACCCATCCGTCAGTCCCAGACGCTGTGCGACGGTGAGCGGGAGTATGTCTGCAAGAGGAAACAAATAGTTCTGGAGTCCCTCAACAGTTTGGGAATCAACTGTACTGAAGTAAGAAAAGAGCGACTTCTTCTTTCTTCTTCCTGTCTTCAAAGAAAGCACCGATGCCTGCGTCCTTCATGGGTTACGAGCTTCATTTGTGTTTGTTTTCCTGCTCGTCTTTTTTCTACGTGTGGCTTCTTGACAGTAAACATTAAAATAGTTGTAAGTCTAAACTCCAAGCTTAACTTTACAACGCAGCTTGAATGGGACAAACAACCGAGGTGTAGCAGTACTGCAGGTTTTGACAAAGTACAGTCGTGACTCGATAATCCGACCCTTAACAATCCGAAAACCTTCTATCCGACAGGTTTTTAGGAAAAATGAACCCATTAAACATACCTTAACATACCGACAGCCTTGGATTCTGACTCCGACATGACATTTTATGTCACAAATAAGGATAACGGTGTAATTATCTGACTGAACAATCCCACAGATTGGCTACCTTCACACTGCAGGACTTAATGCTCAATTCGGATATTTTTGTAAAATCAGATTTTTTTGCGAGTTCCTTCACGTTTCCAGTTCAATGCGACTTGTATGTGATCTGCTGTGTGAACTTCATACGACCCAAAAGTGTCCGGCATGTGCAGAAGAAGACACGACGACGTCACACGCAGCGAGCGTGCTCAGTGTTTATGGAAGTAAACATGGATGGTAACGGTGGAGTGTATCCGCCGCCGATGGTGGAAACAGAACTGTGTCCGCTAACTAAACTGGCATCAGCAGCCAAATACTGCCTGTGAGTTCCGGCCACTTCCACCCCAGAGGTGCACTCCGATGGGGTGGAAGTGGCCGGAACGTGCACAGTCGCACCGTCAATTAGGAGTGAAATCCAGCGATGCGTAGTGTTCTATCAATAGTTATTATAACAACTATAAACAATTAATATTAATAACAAATGAGCCTTCCAGCATCAAGCCCTCCTTCTATCTCGACCTCCATCTTGACAATCCGACAGCCTTGCTATCCGACATAAAAGAAGGTTTAGTGTCGGATTATTGAGTCATGACTGTAGTCATTCTTGGGCAGATATGTGAAACGCTGGTGTTCTACATGGTGCATTAATCAGTGTATGATATTATTCTATTAACACAAAACACATTTAAAAATGGCCACTGAACTTGTATCGACGTTTTTAGCTCAGTACCATGTGATCCCAATAAAATTTGTGAAGCTTGTGACGACTTTAAAAGACATCTACGATAGCTAAAGATGCAATTTATTAGCATATGTGACCCATTTTATTGGTAGATTCACAAAAAAAACACCCATATGTCAATCAATACATAGAAATCTGGGGCCTTCATCTTTTTAAAAAAAAAAATCAGGTAAATTAATATATTTGGAACAGCCTTCCTTTTTTAATTAAATGTTTCCCTGTATTGTTATTTTTACTCAAAGACATTTCAGTGGCCTTTGCCTGCTTTTAATGGTCTTAACATTTCAAATTCATTTCATATTTGTTTGTTAAAAACAGATCTATAATCCTGTTGCACCGGTTTTCCTTTTTAAGTCTATTTTTTTTGCCAGTTTTATCCTCTCTTGACATATTGCACATCATTTTGTTGCTTCCTGTCTGATAACATGAGCAACACTTGGGTAATCTGAGGTGAGTCAATATTTAATTTAGTCAGATAAACGTGTACTATCTCGGGTCTTAACCTTAGTATTTAAACTTGTTGATTAAATTCAGATCTTATTTCTCTATTGGAAAACACTGAAGCTCAACATCTGTTTTAAATGTGCTTCATTAATAACTTTGCTTTGCCTGGTTCGTAGCCTACAGCCATGGAGCCAAAAGCACATTTTTAATAAAAAAAAAAAACAAAGTCCACGTCCTTGTTATTGATTCTTGCGGGCTGTACCGATGCATCACAGTGCTAACATTTGCTATATAGCGCTAAAAGCAAAGTGCACCCGAGGTTAAAGGGAGTGTCATCAGTTCAGCAGATGTTTGTTCACAAAGTATTTCATAATTAAGAGTCGTAGACAACAACCTGCTGCCAAAACACATAATGATGGCTCATGGTAAGCAGAGTTATTTAGTTTTTATTGGAGGACAGGGTCATTTCAGTTCATAACAAAAGCATATTATTAGTGTTCAGCTTTAAAATTTCCCTCCAAAAACAGCAACGTAGTTTGTCTTTCATTCAGCTTTAATGAATTGCTTTAATTTGTAACACAAACTTGAACGATCTAAATTAAGTTGGCGAGGAATATTAATGCTATTTTTTTGAGTTATACGTTTGATTCCTCTCAAGTTTGCATTGCTGCAATTGAATTTTAAGGAACTTAAAGCTTCCAATTTTAACTTAAATCTTTGTTTTACCCAAAAGTAAAATGTACATTCTGACATTAGACTGACTGTTCTTTCCTTTTCTTCACTCTTTAATCCAAGTAAATGCAGGAAGTGTGGGAAGCAGAACATTTTTTAAATTCTTTTTGTGCTTTTGCTGAAATTATAATACCAATTTAAAGGGACAAGGTTTAATTTCAAGATGATTGACTCCACAAAACTAAAATTTCCAATAATAAGATTCATTCTAAACGGAGCTTTGCTTCAACTGAAGCTCAGATACACTCTGTGAAGTGCTGGTAGGTGGATTAAGTAAGCTTTTCCTACCTTCTTGCTTAAGGGCAATGAGCTCATGTTTCACAATCTATCATTGCCTGGCTGAGAGAGTTTAATCCTGTTCAGGACTTTCATGTTGCCATACATAGAAAGAATGTGTGCACAATATGTGTTGGTATAGACTTTTATGTTATGTTCAATAAGTTTTCTGATAAGTTGATAAGCATTTTTGGTTCCAAATGCATGAAAAATGTCCCTCAAAAATAGAAAAACAATACCTGTCACCTAAACCAAACGGCCAGAAGACTCCAAAAGTCCTGAATAGGGTTGATGTAGATTTTTAAATTAAGAAATAAATATCCTAACAACTGGTTCTTTCCATCCAGGACACGGTTCCCCACATCGCCCTGCTGGCGTCGGGCGGAGGTCAGAGGGCGGCAGTGGGTCTGGTGGGCTCCCTCAGTCAGATGGAAAAGGACAATCTGCTGGACACCCTGCTGTACCTGGCGTCGGTTTCTGGCTCAACATGGTAACAGCAGTCACAGGAGGAAGCCATGTTGGCTCCTGTGCGAAGTTAAAGGACAACATGCTCACAGTGGCAGCGTTGACTGGCCAGCCTCTGGTCCACCACATTTCATTTCTTTGTCTAAATAACAAGCTTCGTCCTTTCATTAATGAAGATCAACTTGGTCATTTGTTATCAGAACCATTGAGCCTGTTCCAATTTTTGCATGACAGGTTCTTCACCCACTATAGCTTTATGGTTCTTGCATTTAGCTCAGAATAACTTGAGTTTTAATTTACTCAGAGTGACATATTCAGGTATTTCTGGGCGGCAAAAACAGTCTCTTCAGTTTGCCATTAAGACTTTATCTGAGCTTTAGGAAGATGTGGGATAACTAGAGCTAGATTCAACTTGACGCTAATGCTAGTCTGCTGATATGTTGCTAAAGATTAGCTTGCAAGGCTAATGCTTTTTGCTGTCTTTTTAGCCTTTTTTTTCAATTTCAGTCTATATTTTGAAAGCAGTATGCGACTAGAAAAACACAGTGGAGCTGCTAATGCTTGGTTTTAGTTTTATCCATCCATCCATCCATCCATTTTCTATACACCGCTTACAACATTAGGTGTTTATGATGTTCACCATCTTATTGTGGTTTAGCTAACATTTGATAATTAGCACCAAACAGAATTTACATGCACTATAAAATGTTATAAAAGAAAAAATCAACTCATCTTTTCTAGTTTGCTAAACGTAAATATGTTAGGCTGGCTAATTTCATGCTAACTGAACTTTTAAATGTCTGATTTTTAACTTTTAGACCAGTTCAGAACTTAAAAACATGAGTTCTTAAACACTAAAATGACTTGAATGAATGAATTGAGTTCTTTCAATTCATTAAAATAAGCTCATAAGAAACAAAACAAGCATATTAGCACATTTCCCAGGATGCATTGCTAAAGAGAGTTCAAACTCCCCAGAGACTTTGTAGTTTGAGAAAACAGACATGGTGGAAACCTGCTGTGTGTTTTTAATACATGTTAAAGTGAGTTATTGTTGGTTCTTTTCATAATTAAAATACAAATGTAAAGTTGACAACAGGTTGTATTGAATTCAGTAGAAATAAAGTACAGTTAACTCTTGTTGGAAAGCTTACAATGTTAAGGTACATGGACCTAAAATAATTTACAGTAACTTACCTATCACCTAACACAGTGTCTCTATTTCTAGAGCCATGGGAGCCTGTGTGGGTAAAATCATTGCAATCATGATGGAATGTTTAGAATGTTGTTTTTTTTGGCAGGTTGAGACTTGCAATCAGGTGTCAGGTGACTCAGTCAATGAAACCTGCACTTTAGTTTTATTGGGATACTTTTAAACATATAGGACTTGGTACTTGCCCCAGAATTAGTGACAAAATGGAAAATCCACAGCCTGTCCTCCTCTTCCCTCTGGTAGGTCCATGGCCAACGTGTACAGTGACCCACAGTGGAGCTCCAACGTGGACGAAGCGGTTTCCAAGCTGTCGGGTGATGGCGTCGAGCTGGAGGAGGCTCTGGCCTGGTTGAGCGCCAGGGCAAAAGAGGAGTACTTCTCTCTCACGGATGTCTGGGCGGTCTTAACCTCTGCTGGCATCATGAAACAGGTACCAGGGGGAACACAAACCTACCGCTGCTTCTCGTCTTTCTCGTTTGAATTTGCTGCACACTCACTGTCTGTGTTTCACCAGATGGACCTGCGACGTCTCTCAGATGAGGCCGACAGGAACGCCACCAACCCTTACCCCGTCTACTGTGCCATAGAGAAGCACTGCTTCTCCAATGGGCCTACAGAAGGTACACACATGCTTATACGATTATCACACTATCCCCCTCCCCAGTGACTTATTGATGTACATGAGGTGTCTTGTCGCTCAGGGAAATGGTTCGAGGTGACCCCTCATGAGGCCGGATTCACTGAGCTGGGTGTCTTTGTTGAAACGTCTCTCCTGGGCAGCATATTCCAGAGCGGGAAGCTGCTGGAGAAGAAGCCGGAGATGGACATGGTCAAACTGCAAGGTGTGTGTTTACAGGCTGACGTGACCGAAGCATCGAAAAGCAGCTTTGATGTGCGATAACCAAAGATCTGAAAGGCATGGCTTTAATTAGTAGCTGAGCAACAGCTTTTATTTAGAAGATGTTTAAGTATTTATGAGGCCCTTTATATAATAATAATAATAATAAAAAAAATCAGTTGCATGATAAAAGGAAAACCATCTGAATTCGTAGAAGATCTAATCAGCACGATCTACAGATGCTGTGCTCGGTAAATTACAGATAGTGCACCGATAAGCACAAATGAATAACTACCAAAACATGCTATAAATGAAAGGATAAAGGGAAGATGCAACGATGAAGCTGCACCAGCTCTTCTTTTTGTTGTATTAATCAAATCTATATATATGTTCCTGCATTAATGAGCCCACAGAGATTTGCTGCTGAGCTTCCTCGCAGCTTTCTAAACATGTCCAGTCTCGTTTGGCTCATCGGTTTAAAAAAAACTATCCTATAATTATAATAGTGTAATTAACAAAGGCATAACAATTCCTGTGAGTCATGTGCAGGTGACATTTCATTCAAGTGATTCAAGTAATTATTACAGAACAGCCCACTAATTAGGTATTGCTCAGTCCACGACATCACCACTCATAAATGTCCCTCACCTTCTTTAAATTGCTCAGATGATCCCTAAGAAGAATGAAACTATAGACTCCTCTAACGTAAAACAATACAAAACCACTATAATGGGCTGACTGGAAAAAAACAAGTTTCATTGACCTTTAAGGATCCATCAAGTGCATTTTAGGCCACGAGAATCACGGCCTTGTTTGTTTAAGGTGGATTCATGTTTGTCCAGATTATGCAGTGTGTTTAATGAAAACTTTTTAGGTGAGCGCCCCAGATTATCCAAATGGGAATTATGGTCACAATCTCTTCTTCTTTTCCTGAGTTGCAGCACAAATAATGGTCAGAAAAGTGTTTTGAGTCGACCTGTCGGAATAAAAACATCACAAATTCATAATTTTTATGTAAAAACATCATAAGTACACAAAAACTTGGACTTAAAATGTTTTTAATCAGGTCACTGTGACCTTTGTCGACCAAAATCTAATCAGATCGTCGAGTTCAAGTGAATGTTGGAAAACCTACAACAGAAGGAAAACCTGAAAACATCACAGGTGTTACCAGTGTGGAGGCTTAAACATGAATCGATAGGATTGTTTGTCATACATTCATATGAACTCTCTTTTTTCTTTTTGTTGGGCAGGTGTTTTAGGATCTGCGTTGGCTGATGAGGACACTGCCAGAGATGTCATGCCTGCCTGGCTGACTGGTAATCACAGATTGAAATTCGTATCTGCTGGCTGAGTGTCAGATGTTTTATTTTAAACACTTTTTGTGTGTGTGTCAGACTTTATAGACGATGCTGCTCAGGAGTACCTGCTTGTGTACAACGTCCTCAATAAACTGACATTCCTGACCAGAGGCACCGTTAAAGATCCCCTTGCTCACACTGACCTGGACAACCTGCAGAAAATACTAAAGGGTAGGCGTGTTGAGAGTGATCATCCTGCTCCAAATACATTTAATCTCATGGCTTTTGTAGCTAAAAGCGAATTCATGAGATTGCAACTACTGATAGTCGGAAAGTAATGCCGTCATTGTTTCAGCTCTCTTCCCCAATTCAACTTTTCTTTGGTCTGTGATGCAGTAATGATGCAGCAAATGTCTGATTGAAAATGCCACTGTGCCCATTAGATTGCTATCTTTTCCAGACATGGTAAATTATAATCAGTCCACGCTGTTGCGTTCGAGGAGTTCAGAGGAAAGGAAGGATGTTTTTAAGCAGCTGCAACTGGAGATGCATTCGGCAGTACAGAACTGGAGCCTGGCTCTTCTGGACGGACCTTTCAAAAGACAAGGTCAGAGGACGACATGACGGATAAACAGCCAAACTACTCAGCGTTGTTGAGCAACTCACATATTTTATGTATTTCTTTTAAATGTGTTTCCCACAGTGAGTGCCCTGATAAAAGAAGTCATTCCCCTGATTGCTCAGTGGGAGTGGGGAACAACCAGGAACTTCCTCTATAAATACGAAGGTGAGAAGACACAACAATCAGATTCAACTGTGGCACAAAAACTCAGTGTTTTGTGTCTTTAAATCTGCTATAATCAATATTTTTTTTGTTTTAAAGCAACATTTTGATATTCTGAAAAGTGCATCTGAGCTGTCTTGTCAAGGACTGGACGTTGAGATTGATCTAACTGTGAATGAATATATAACTTAGCCTAGTTTAGCGCAAAGATGTAACCAGTCTCTGTAAGATAACAAAATCCACCTAAACACCTCTATTTGTACTGCGTTATCACTGATCTAATGTTGCGCAAGTCCCCCTTGGGCCACCAGAACAGCTCTGGGGTCTGGTCCAAGGATGTTAGCAGTTAATCCTTTGATCCTGTGGTTTGCGGGGTGGGACCCCCATGGATCGGGCCATGGTTGCCTGATTAGTTTGAGATCTGGAGAATTTGGAGGCTGGGTCAACACCCTAGACCAGGGGTGTTGAACTCTGGTCCTCGAGGGCCGCAATCCTGCAAGTTTTAGATGTTTCTCTCTTCCAACACACCTGATTCAAATGATCAGGGTCGTTATCAGGCTTCTGCAGGCTTCGACACCCCTGCCCTAGACTCTTGGTTGTGTTCCTCGAGTCGTTCAAGAGCAGTTTCCATCGTTCTGCTGGGAGAGGCTGCAGCTGTAGGATAATGTCGACGCCATTGAGGCAGTGTTTGGTCTGGAACAATGTTTAGTTTGGTGATACATGTCAAGAAGCGTCCACACCAATGCCAGGAATTCACTTGACCTGTCAGTGGTGTTAAGATTGTGCCTAGTTGGTTTAATTAGTGCAGAGAAATTAAGTCCTTAAACACCCTTTGGTTTTATAGGATGTTATGTGTAAAACTACACAGCTCTTGACCAGGCGCAGTAACTGTCATTGCCAAACAATGACGTCTTCAGGAAGTCACTGCATAAACTGTGCAACACTTTGTTGTTCTTATTAGGAAATCACCATTAAAAATGAGACACGACAAGATCACTGCTAAAGAGTTAAATCTGCTTGAATCCACACCAACTCCGGCATCCGTTTGGCATTTCTTGTCCACAGCACCAGCTGTCTGCCGGACAAACTGTCCTCACCAGGCTGACTGACAGTTTGAAATCGATAAAAATAGCTTTTATGTAGGCTCCGCGGAAAGAACTCAGCAGTGTCTTAATGTATGAATTCATTGATCGTTGGTGATGTGCATCTTAGAGTCAGTGTGGTTTGGTACATTAGAATATTCTGTGAGATAAGTGAATGGCGAGTGTCTAGAATGTTTATACACATGGTTTTTAGGTGGTTAGGCCTTTCGTACCACTTCAACTCATTTCAAGGAATTGGATCCAAATGTCCTGAATTGGGCTCATGCAAAGTAGAAGTAAAACCTGTCAGTTAAATGTGTTTTAAAACTTATTTTTGGGGCAGTCACCAAAATGTTTGAGCAGTTTTTCTCAATTCTGACCAGTAATTCTGTACATGCTGACTATTGAAGTTGCAGTTTGGGTTCACTCCACACATCTTTAAGACGGGGACCTGGTCTTGTTAGCAGAAATAAACTGGCTAGGCACGTTACCAAGCTGGCTCCTGGCTGGATAACGTTGGTTAGAAGAACTTTGCAAAGGCTTTCCCTTGTTTTCAGTCGCTACGCCGACTAAGCTACCTTCTGCTCTCATTGGATGCAAAGGCAACACATTGAGAAAATCTTAAGTAAATCCACAAAGTCATAAAGATAAAGACAAAGATAAAGATAACTTTATTGATCCCACAGTGGGGAAAGTTCACCGTTACAACAGTTCCAAAAAAGTGTACAGTCAGTGCAAGAATAATTGGGAACACCGAGTGCAAATTTTAGGAAAGAAACAGAAAACAGAAAAACAGAAAACAGAAAACACACAGTGCAAAAATTGCAAGAGAAAAAAAACATTATATACAGAAGATGTTTTTTTTTTTTTAAGAAGACTTCATACACAAAGATGAGGTAGTAATGGTTATTACACATAGTGGAATGTGTTTGTTGGTGGAAAAAAGAAGAAGTGCAGCAGTAACAGAGGTAAATGGATATTAAAGAAAAATCTATGAATTTAAAAAATGTTTACATTTCTGTTGCCCTGCAGAACCCTCTATTCCAACTTGCCTCCACAACAAAGAAAAGCTCCACCTGATAGACGCCGGACTGCTCATCAACGTGGGCTACCCTTCATTCCTGGGCGACAAGAGAGACATCGACCTCATCATTGTGCCAGAGTACAGCGGCGGGAAGATGTTTGAGGTGGTGTAAGACGTGTGTTTGTTTCTCAATGTGTCTGAACCTTCAACTGAAAGTAACTGATAAATAATTGCAACAGCACAGCACCTGTGAACGGGGGCCTTTGACCGCAAGCCAGACAAATCAAACTTATGTCGCAAGTAATCGTAAAAGAAGAAGTTTCTCTTTCTTTGGCTGGATTTGATGCAACCAAGCCTAACGTCTCATGTTACACAGTTTGTGACTCAGTTACACTTTAATTTTGTCACGCACTGTTGTGGCAAAACAAACCTTCTGATACTTGCATTTCTCTTCAGACAAGTTTAAAGTAGAAAGAAGATCAGCTGCCCAGTTAGTTTGTATGTAAATGCACATACTGACTGTGCGTTTGCTCATCAGGTGTAGTTATGTATGAGTCTTAACTTTAATCCTTCACATGCCAAAGCCATATAGGAGTGGCTTGTATAGACTTTTGTCAAACTAATACTCAACAGTTTAAAAGGTGTTGCAGCTTTGTGCAAAACCAGAAAGGCAACATATTTTCTGATCTTGTTTATGGTATACACCTGTTGGGCTTTAACCTGCCCTGACAAATACCTTCTGAACAGAAGCTACATCTGTACAGCAAAAGCAAACATTTTACAGTGAAAAAGCAACAACCATTTCATTAATTAGTATGGAATTAATTAAGATGCTTTGTAGATTTTATAAATGATCAAACCTCTAGCAAGTTGTTTTCATTCTTACAAATGGCTGATCTATAAGACAATTTTCAACCATTAATTACAACCTAAAATTCCCCCATGAAGCACTTAGAGAGGTTTTGTCCTTGTGCAGCTTAAAACAAGTGATGGATGACAATTAAAGTAACAACAGCCCTTCACTGAACTCACAAAGCCGAGAGCACAAACACTGTGGAGGCTGAGAAGTCTGAAGCAACGTTCTCCCTCTGCTTTGTGAACAGACTCTGACTCTTGCGAGAGATTACGCAGCCGAGTTGAAGAAGCCTTTCCCAGAGATAAACGACACCATCGTCCAGAGGGACAGAGAGTGGCCAAAAGACTGCTACGTGTTCGAGGGAGGAGAGGAGGCGCCCACGATCGTCTACATGCCGCTCTTCAACAGACAAAACTGCAAAGGTCTGTTCCCACATACACTCACTTATACTTTGGAAGCGCGCTGCAGACAAGAAAGTGAAAACTGTCAGGATGTAACCGAACACAGGTGCTCGGCTCAAACTGCAGAAGTCCTTTTCTTTCCAGCTTCAAGGAGAAATAAAAATAGCTCTTCAAACATCCATCGAGATAAGGTATCTGGAGAAGTTAGCTGGAGAAGTGTTGGACTCTTCTTCTGTAACAGGATGACTTGTAGTGGAACTCATCCAAATGAATCTGCATTGAGATTTGCTGCACAACAAACTTTTACTTTTACTGCAATCAAATCCAACAGTGGGGTAATATGTGCTAATGTACAGCAGTGTTTTCTGAAAGCTGACTGATTTGAT